GGAGATTAATAGAGTAATATATTAAGACATATGGGTTATTAAGACATATTTATATATGAGGTATATATTTTGTTGCAATTTTTCCAATTGTTGGAGATTTAATAGAGTAATATATTAAGACATATGGGTTATTAAGACATATTTATATATGAGGTATATATTTTGTTGCAATTTTTCCAATTGTTGGAGATTTAATAGAGTAATATATTAAGACATATGGGTTATTAAGACATATTTATATATGAGGTATATATTTTGTTGAAATTTTTCCAATTGTTGGAGATTTAATAGAGTAATATATTAAGACATATGGGTTATTAAGACATATTTATATATGAGGTATATATTTTGTTGCAATTTTTCCAATTGTTGGAGATTTAATAGAGTAATATATTAAGACATATGGGTTATTAAGACATATTTATATATGAGGTATATATTTTGTTGCAATTTTTCCAATTGTTGGAGATTTAATAGAGTAATATATTAAGACATATGGGTATTAAGACATATTTATATATGAGGTATATATTTGTTGCAATTTTTCCAATTGTTGGAGATTTAATAGAGTAATATATTAAGACATATTGGTTATTAAGACATTTATATATGAGGTATATATTTTGTTGCAATTTTTCCAATTGTTGGAGATTTAATAGAGTAATATATTAAGACATATTGGTTATTAAGACATATTTATATATGAGGTATATATTTTGTTGCAATTTTTCCAATGGTTGGAGATTTAATAGAGTAATATATAAGACATGTGGTTATTAAGATATTTATATATGAGGTATATATATTTTGTTACAATTTTTCGAATTGAGATTAGAGATTTAATTAGAGTAATATATTAAGACATGTTGGTTAATAAGACATTTATATATGACGTATATATTTTGTTGCAATTTTTCAATTGCTGGAGATTTAATAGAGTAATATATTAAGACATGTTGGTTATTAAGACATTTATAATAAGGGTAACATAATAAGACATGTTGTATATATAACACATTTACATATTCTGTTGCAATCTCTCCAATTGTTTAGATTGAAGATTTAACAGAGAAATATAATAAGACATATTGGTTTCATAATACACATTGGCATATGTAAAATACATAAAGTATAATACACACATTTAAATAAACATGATTAAAATGAACACCGAGATGTTCTCAGTCTGTGGTTTAGAACAGACTGAGCTCGCTTCTCTCCAGCCGGGTTATTTATACCGCGGTCGGAAGAAAGTTAGTGAGCGATCGGGCGACCGAACAAACACGAATAAACACGA